GAGAATTCGCCGATTGCGTCTAGATTCGTTTCGATTCTGCCTCTACTGAGCGGAACAGCTCGCTCCAAGTTCCTTCCTGTTGGACTTGGCCTTCCACACTTCCTTTATGCCCTCAATGATGCTGAGGGTTCAAGTTTTGGTTCCGTCAGTTCAAGATCTTGAATCTTTAAGACGTTTTGCGCGACTAACCAATCTGTAGCCAGTTTCGCACTAGCACAGTGTACCACTTTCGTCACACGAAAGTGCGAAACCCCTGACCTACATCTATGCTGCCTAGATGACCTGAACGACAACGAATTACAACGTGAATTATCGCGCCTGTTGCCCTGCAGCTTGCCTGTGGCCTGCAGCGTCCCAGAGATTGCTAGCTCAGGGCTCGTACTCACGAGTGAATTTGCTTTACCTAGACAAATTTTCCGAAAAAAGCAATAATTAGCAATCAATTCACATCGCAGTGTAAGATGCGTGCAACTATTTACCGTAACCATAATTTTGCAGCTGGAGTTTCCCATGCTCGCACAGGCGTTTTCCAAGCTCGCATCGCCGCGTGTTGCGAGGACTTCGGGAAAATTTCGTGTTGTGCTACTGCCAGGGCGGGGGCGGACATCCACACGTTATTATTATAACGATATCAGCTCCTTATCACCTCACCTCACCATTCGGATTGGAGGGAGATAGCATAGTGGCTAATAGCTAGTTGCTAGCAGGCATGAGGGTCGGCATGGGCCTAGCCATAAGGGGTGCTAACGGGCCTAACTGTTCAGCTTTCACCGGAATTCTTGCGAGTTTTCACTTTTTGACTAGCACAACTTCCACAATCACCTTTCGATCTCTGACCCATTCTAGAGGTCATAGCCTTATTTCGTCGCGGGAAATGCCTTCAAAGTATTGGCTACAAAGTGTTTTTGCTTATGTTTAAAAACTAAACATTTTCCAAACGATAGTAAACACGGTCTCCTGGCGCACTAGTACGTACGGCTAAGACCGCGCTTCCGGGCAGAGTTTTGAAAAATCCAGTGAAACTGCTTAACAAAAGGGATTTTCCTTGCTCCATGTTGATTTTTCTGATGCTGGAGGCTGTAGGCGAGGTAAGGGGCAAAATCAACCATCGCTGTTTTGTAGTAATTTTTTCTACCCATGTCTATTTTCTTCTGAATTCTAGAAGCTAGGCAGTTATCTTGACCTGAGAAACGTCATGAGAGAATAAGTCACCTTTTTCAGCGTGAATGATATGGACCTTGTATGCATGTCGGAGACGTGGTTCGTCTCATCGATAGTGTCCGTGTCCGTCTGTTGCCTGCTCTTCTCCGCCCTCATCGTCGTTTGGGGATGTCACTCGTTGAACACCACCAAAGTCAAACTTCCTATGTAAATTGCACTTCACTATCACATTCTCTCTCCTATACGACATTCTTTATTATGGTGCCACAATGTGCAATTCGAGCACAAGTTAAAGTCTTTCACTGCGCGGTCCGTTCGGCTCCAAAGTCATCACCGAAGTTTCTGAAGCTTTCATCACATGTAGTATCGATTCCAAAGCGCAACTAGTTGCTTGTTTTCCTTTCAGTGTATTGAAACTTTATCAACCTCAATGCGTGTTTACGATTTCTCAACATTCCTGTTTTTGCTTACAAATTATTGTCTGCTATTATTGAAATAAATTCAGCAAATTAAAAATAGATTCGGTTAAATTACTGAAACAACTACTCAGGGGTATTATAGAGTCATGCACGGCGGTATTTCCCTTTGCAAGGGGAGTGGGCATTGTTGTAAATTCCTATCAGTTCTATTCCGGGGGGCTCACGTGGCACAGAAGGGCTGAACGCGGCAAAAACAGTTGAAGTTTGGGACTCAGCAACGCTTGTAGAGCGTATCAGGCGCACAACTTCCATTATGGCTCTCGGAAGCCTATTAGTGTACGCCCGAGCTCTGAAAAGATTTCCTGAGTTGCCAACCTCCTGTTATGGTACTGGAGACATTGGAGACAACAAACTAAATTCATTTTGGTGGAGTGCGATCTCCAAGAGCTACAAGTCGTCCAACAGTGACAGGACGTCTGCGGCTGCACTAGTGACCGTACTCAATGGCTTTACACTGCATAAAAGGTGACGTGATTTGAGAGGACCACTTGGCATAAGAGGAAGTGTTCTGGCTGGAAAGGTTTTACCGCAAACTGCTACGTACATGTATAAATTAACTGGAATAATCTTGTATTATTATTATTAATTAAATAGTGTCTCTGCCGGTATACCAGCCGGTATCACACCCTACATGACGTTTGGGAATATGAAACGGAAACAAAGAAAAAAATGTGAAATACATCAGCGACAGGCAGAACAAGGATATCACAAAAATTCCTGACTGAATATGTAACTCATTCCATACCTTGCATATTCATCTCGCAGACCAGCCGAATTTCTTCATCTGCTAGCGAGGCCGGATAACTTTTCTTTAGTCCATCCTACCTTTAGCAGCTGCGAATTCCCCAAACTCTACCAGTTCTTCCCCTTTCTCCAGAGCTCACCAGGCCAGGTTGGGAGGGGGGGCGGAGGTAAATAAGGCACATGAAACGGGAAAATCCAAGAAAGTTTCGTCAGTGTCCGAAAACGATTCCCAACAGTATCGTCTGATCGCTAAGTACTGCACGTGCGCAGTAATCAGACGATGTGTACTGCAGCACACAGCAAAAGGTCTTCCCATGCCGGGAATCGAACCCGGGCCGCGTGGGTGAAAACCACGAATCCTAACCACTAGACCACATGGGACACAACATCACACTCGGACCAGCTCTTCTCTTCGCAACACCTCGCACTGAGGATCGGTCTTGACAGTATCGTCTGATCGCTAAGTACTGCACGTGCGCAGTAATCAGACGATGTGTACTGCAGCACACCGCAAAAGGTCTTCCCATGCCGGGAATCGAACCCGGGCCGCGTGGGTGAAAACCACGAATCCTAACCACTAGACCACATGGGACACAACATCACACTCGGACCAGCTCTTCTCTTCGCAACACCTCGCACTGAGGATCGGTCTTGACAGTATCGTCTGATCGCTAAGTACTGCACGTGCGCAGTAATCAGACGATGTGTACTGCAGCACACCGCAAAAGGTCTTCCCATGCCGGGAATCGAACCCGGGCCGCGTGGGTGAAAACCACGAATCCTAACCACTAGACCACATGGGACACAACATCACACTCGGACCAGCTCTTCTCTTCGCAACACCTCGCACTGAGGATCGGTCTTGACAGTATCGTCTGATCGCTAAGTACTGCACGTGCGCAGTAATCAGACGATGTGTACTGCAGCACACCGCAAAAGGTCTTCCCATGCCGGGAATCGAACCCGGGCCGCGTGGGTGAAAACCACGAATCCTAACCACTAGACCACATGGGACACAACATCACACTCGGACCAGCTCTTCTCTTCGCAACACCTCGCACTGAGGATCGGTCTTGACAGTATCGTCTGATCGCTAAGTACTGCACGTGCGCAGTAATCAGACGATGTGTACTGCAGCACACCGCAAAAAGGTCTTCCCATGCCGGGAATCGAACCCGGGCCGCGTGGGTGAAAACCACGAATCCTAACCACTAGACCACATGGGACACAACATCACACTCGGACCAGCTCTTCTCTTCGCAACACCTCGCACTGAGGATCAGTCTTGACAGTATCGTCTGATCGCTAAGTACTGCACGTGCGCAGTAATCAGACGATGTGTACTGCAGCACACCGCAAAAGGTCTTCCCATGCCGGGAATCGAACCCGGGCCGCGTGGGTGAAAACCACGAATCCTAACCACTAGACCACATGGGACACAACATCACACTCGGACCAGCTCTTCTCTTCGCAACACCTCGCACTGAGGATCGGTCTTGACAGTATCGTCTGATCGCTAAGTACTGCACGTGCGCAGTAATCAGACGATGTGTACTGCAGCACACAGCAAAAGGTCTTCCCATGCCGGGAATCGAACCCGGGCCGCGTGGGTGAAAACCACGAATCCTAACCACTAGACCACATGGGACACAACATCACACTCGGACCAGCTCTTCTCTTCGCAACACCTCGCACTGAGGATCTCTTGACAGTATCGTCTGATCGCTAAGTACTGCACGTGCGCAGTAATCAGACGATGTGTACTGCAGCACACCGCAAAAGGTCTTCCCATGCCGGGAATCGAACCCGGGCCGCGTGGGTGAAAACCACGAATCCTAACCACTAGACCACATGGGACACAACATCACACTCGGACCAGCTCTTCTCTTCGCAACACCTCGCACTGAGGATCGGTCTTGACAGTATCGTCTGATCGCTAAGTACTGCACGTGCGCAGTAATCAGACGATGTGTACTGCAGCACACCGCAAAAGGTCTTCCCATGCCGGGAATCGAACCCGGGCCGCGTGGGTGAAAACCACGAATCCTAACCACTAGACCACATGGGACACAACATCACACTCGGACCAGCTCTTCTCTTCGCAACACCTCGCACTGAGGATCGGTCTTGACAGTATCGTCTGATCGCTAAGTACTGCACGTGCGCAGTAATCAGACGATGTGTACTGCAGCACACCGCAAAAGGTCTTCCCATGCCGGGAATCGAACCCGGGCCGCGTGGGTGAAAACCACGAATCCTAACCACTAGACCACATGGGACACAACATCACACTCGGACCAGCTCTTCTCTTCGCAACACCTCGCACTGAGGATCGGTCTTGACAGTATCGTGGCAGTCGAGATCATTCCGGACAATGATGACTCACGATGAGTTGGAGGGTGCGTTTTTTACCGTGACATACGCTGCCACCTTTCTGTAGCCTGATCAAGTTTTATCTGCTGCTATCGCTCCCTCTCGAACACTAACAATGTTTCTGTCGCAATTCCTTAATCAGCTCTTGGTGCCAACGTCCCAAGCCACCGGGACGGGCCCTGCGAATTCGTGACACACACGCATGCACATTAATAGCGCTTCGTATACTGAAGGATTTTTCTCGGTTGCTGTAGCGTTTCTACAGTGATCACAACTCTACATCGTTCTCTTTATACGGAGGCTGTTCGTCATACACCTGTGTCCCCCCCCCCCATCAAACCTCACTGGGCACCTCTCATAAGTTGTAACTTTCACTTGTCCCTAGGGAATTGGAACATCGCTGGGATTTGGTAGGTATCGCACTCTTGGGCTGCGGTCCTAAGCATGTACCGCACCTCATCGTTTTGATGAAGAGCATTCGCTGGCTGCAGTATTTTGCTTGGCACTGAGTCGCTTAGAACCTGTTCTTTATTTAATATCGTAATGTTCGGCATGCACTTGATATCGTTAGTTCTAGTCCTGTGAAGCCCAGGGTGACGTTAGTGGGCGTCAGTCGTGGCCTGTTCAACTATTAGTTCCTTTATCCATTGCTCCTGGTATCCGTTCTGAATCCATGCATGACGATGGTATAGGCGGTTTCTCTTCACCGGAACAAAGCCTCATTGGGCGCGGGAACACCTTAAACTCTTCCTGTGACCTTGCAATCGTGTACCATATTCAGAAATTGACATACGTGAGCTTTGACAGTGTTAGTCTCAGTCTCGTTACTTTTTTCTGGTCCGCAGTACTGAATGCACGAAATTTCAAACAACTGAAATGGAGAACTTCTTAGTTTTATTTGGTTCTCACACTTCAACTGGGAGCCTCCAGCTCCTGCGAGGCTATATTCGTGCATTCTTGCGAAAGTATAGGATTGCCGCTCGAGAACCGTTCCGCATGGATTTTAAGGAGAGTCCCAGGCTCGTAGGCTTCCTTTTAGTCTTGCTCTCAGTTTCTAAGATTGCCCTCATAAGTGGCAGTTCTGACGCCTCCCAAGTGCCACTGATACTCAAATGCTAATTTCTATCACGAGGGGTGCCACAGGGTCTTACTGTATTCTGCATGATCGTTTTTTTGCCTTCAATCTCCCCTGCAGAGTCACTTGAATTATAGATTTGCCTAAACGCCACTATACACATTATTCGAGCGCGAGGTTTGCCTTTAAATTGGCCTCTTTCGGAGCGTAGCTGAAGAGAGACTTGGATTTCAATCTGTCCATCATTGAGTGCTTACCATCTGCTCTGGTGCCATCTTATAAACTTCACTAAATAAATTTTGACAGATGAACGAGCAGAATTGCCGGAGATTAGCAATGTGAGAAATCGCAATCACTGCTCCTGAAAGTTTTGATGAATCCAAGAGAAGGGAACGATAGTGATTTCTCTCTTAGTATAGGTGACCTGTCTGCGTCCGCATCGAGCACTGCTCGAGAGAGGCATGTCCTGTCGCTGGGTGAATTTTGCGGAAGGTATGACCCCCTAATTCCCCCCTCTGATACGACCCTCTTTCCCCATACCACCCATCTTTTTGCCAGATTTCCAAAACTTCCTACCACCTTTTCCGGAGCTTCCCGAAAATTTTGCTATCGAGCTGGGGGATGGGATAGTTGACAGCACATGTGAACCGGGAAAAACTGCGCAAACTCAACAAGCCGGAAAAAAATTTTCTCAACACCATAAATTTCTCTCAAACTACAAATACGGAAATAGTAGGGCGCTGTATAGTGGGGAAATGGCGAAAGAACGGAGTGAAACGGTCAAAATCCTGCGAAGAAAAAGCCTCCGTTCTCAATGACTTGAAAATCAATTTTGGACGAGTTTCCCGTAGGCATCTTGCCAATAACCGCTACCGAAGGTACGGCTGCATATGTGTACTCATATATCCATGCAGCATCACGGCCGCTTCATACCAATCCCTTCGCTTCATAATTTGCTTCAACCATCAGGAACGGTCGTCCATTGTGTGCGCGGCGTGTGTGTTAGGCTTTTATGTCGGCATATTGTGGCTTGATAGGGCCCTTATAAGGGCACCTTCCTTGGAAAAGGCATTATGCAGCGCCTGCTCAGGGTCGCGGAATTCCGTCCTGCCAGGCGTATTAATCCTACTCGTCTTGGGGATTTATCGTGCCAACTGCCTTCAAGGCAGATGGATTAAATTTGCTTCAGTCTGTACGTATGAGAGCTGCTGTTAAGTGTGACATTGGATAAATGCCTAGTTCGGTTGGTAGCGTCAAAAGATTACTCAGCAAACGTGAGCGCAACTTTTGTGACTAGAGTACCTCCTCAGAATAGAAAGTGAAAAAGATACTGCAGCGATATTTAACAATTGCGCAGTCGCCCTCATGATCAGAGCTTATAGCATTCGGCGTTGATCAGTTCATTTTGCTCCCGCTTCAATTCAGAATCGTAGAGGGTTTTGAGTGCAGTCTGGCCTGTACAATAACCTGTAACGCTTACCAGTGTACAATTTCGGCGAGCAGCCTAGTACCAGTTGATTGGTCGTGGACATTGGGAGGTGTCGTTGGCTCGGAGATTGGGGGGAGCTGATCCAGGGCTGAACCCTGAACCGTGTGCGTAGTGAATTGGCCACTCGTCATAACGAAACTCCGTTTTGCCTGTCGCAATGCTTACCATAGGACACCACGACTGAGCATTTTTCAGGAATTACATGTAAATATTCATGAAGCGTAATCGATTGCGCTCTGCTATTGTTGGCTGCACATACTGCGCCTGATCTTACACAACAACGTTAGTAGTTTGTAAGGTAGCGATCAGTCAGGGCTGGTGTGAAGAGGGCGAGATGAGCCAACAAGCGGCTGTCTTGCGCACCAGCGGTGATCGGCTAGTGATCAGTGGAGGAAGGAAATCAGTGGTGTAACGTTAGTAAATTTCTCTTGAAACGACCGGACTGAATCCGATAATACCAACTGTACACCTTCAGCCGCTATCTCTATCTCTTGTTACACTTGTGTAGGTTCTAGTGTTGCTGAGAACAGTCAGGAGTCTCCTCGGTCTATCGCTTGACAAAGGAAACTCTCGTGCAACTCTACTAAGCAGAAGAAGTCCGTACACCAAATCTTCGTCCCAAGTTGTGCCCAGCCTTGCAAGAGCGCGAAATCCCGGACATTTTTATTTGGTGCCCTCTTGTATTAGGTTGTCCGGAAAGTTCTCAGCGTTTTGTGTTACTATTTTTTGTACATTCATTGCTGATTAAAAACTCATTCTCCCTTGCGTCTCAGTAGTACATCCTGAAGAGAATTTTTTGCGCTATCTGATGGTATAATTGCCGTTTCACCATAAACCCCCTTTTCCCAAGACTTTTGAAGCATGTCAAAAGAGCAACTTCGGACGATATTTTTCTTCAACTACAAATTGGGTCAATCCGCAGTCGAGACAGCTCGACAAATTAACCAGGTGGGGGGAATAGTGTTGGAGAAAGCACCGTGCGACAATGGTTCGACAAATTTCGTTCTGGAGATTTCAGCCTTGAAGATGAACCTCATAGCGGTCGACCTAAAGCAATACCTGACGAGGATTTGAAGGGGTTTTGGAGGCTGACCCATCCCAAACAGTTTGAGTAGA